CAGGAGGGTCAGGATGAGCCGGGACACACTGGGTGACTTCCAGGGCTGGAATCACGTTTGGGTAGGAAAACCCAGGCCCTGGAAGTCTTTTTAAGTTGAAATAACCCAAATTCAGGAAAAACCACCCCGATTTTCCCAAGCCCCACGAGGTGGGAGCACTCGGCAGGAGAGCTCCGGGTTTTTTTTTACTTACCGCCACAGATTTTTAGTTTCTTTCCAAATAGTGGAAGGGGGAAAAGATTCCCCCCTAATTGCAGAGCAAATCCCTGGAAGCCCCGGCGAGGCGCTGCCCCTCCTGCTCGCAGTGATTAGATTTGTCTTTGGATAGGTTGGAATTGTGTAATAAACTCAGATGACGTCAGTCTTTTACACAGAGCTCCTGTTGCCTTCCTACGGTGGGATTTGGGATAATGAGGGATAATTTGGGATCTGGGAGGTCTGTGCACCCATTGTCCCTCACCTTCTTCCTCCTCCAGCGGGTTCCTGTGCTTCACAAACTGGCTCTGAGGTGCTGGAAGCACCTGAGCATTCCCAGGGGGGACCCACATTCCTGGGCACCAAGTAAAAATAAATATTTATTGGAAAATAGTGAATTATTCTGGAAGGAGGTCATAGAAAAAAAAAGGGTTCTTCATACCTTGAGCTGGCTCAAGCTCTGAGGAGTTCAAGTGGATTAGAGAATGGGAAAGGTGGGAAGGATATGTCCAGGGGGCAGTGGGAAAAGGGAGGGATGAATCTGTGGCAGCAGGTCCCTGGTGAAGTGGGAAGCAGGAAAAATGGGAGGGATATGTCCACACAGAAGTGACAAAGGTGGGAGGGATGTGTCCAGGTGGCACCAGGTGAATGGGCAGTGGGAAAGGAGGGATCCTCCCCCTTCCCGGGGCTGGGAAGTGGAGCTGGCACGGGTGATGCTCCCCTGTGTCCCTGGGCCGTGTCCTCAGTAGGGATCCGTGCTGTGGGAAAGGACAGAGACAGGGATGTGTGGGTGCCAAACCAACCTGGCAGCTCCCGCGCCGGCTCCCCCAGTTCCTGGGATGCAGCACCTGGAGAAGGAGAGGAGTGCCAGGACGCCCAGGAGCAGCTCCAGGCCGTAGAAGAGGAGCAGGATGGCGCTCAGGAACGCTTCCAGGCGCAGGGAATATGTCTGGAGCAGCAGGTAGTACACGGCCAGCGCAGCTGCCGGCACTGTAAGTGCCAGGCTGAGGGACAGCGGCACCTTCCGCTGGCACAGGTTCCCCTTGGAGCCTGTGGAACACAGAGTTGGGATCAGACCATGGAAATCATGGCAGGGTTTTAGGTAGGGAATTAAAAGTCCCGTTCCCGTGGGCAGGGAGACCCTCCTCTAGCCCAGGTTGCTGCCTGCCCCATCCAACCTGAACATCCAGGGATGTTCTTTGGGGATGTCCCGGGACTCTGCACTCCCTGTGGAGCCTCTGGCATTCAGGGGCACTCACCGAAGAAGATACGTGTGGCCTCAATGCCGAGGTAGAGGAGGAGCAGCACCACGTCCAACACCAAGTTGGAGACGGGATAGGGCAGGAGCAGCACTGCAGGAAAAGCACCGCCCTCAGCACCACATTCCCGCCCGTCCCGGCGGGATCGGGAAGAGTTCTGGAGCGAAGGACTCACCTTTGTACACGAACACGAACGCTTCCAGGAGAAAATATGTGGCGCAGTACCAGCCGTTGAGGAAGAGCAGGACCTGCAGCGGAGCCGAGGAGCGATGGCGGTCTGAGGGGACACGGGGCGGCCATGAGGGGGGGCACGGGGCGGGCATGGCAGCGCGGCCCCCGGAGCCCTGCAGCGCCTCGGCCGCCCCCCTGCCTCGTTCCCAGCGCCGCTCCCAGCCCGGCTTCCTCCCAGTACCCCCCGTATCCTCCGGGATGCCCCGTTTCTCCCCCGGTCCTGCTCCTACCCCTGGGCGCCATCTTCCATCTCCATGGGAACCGCCGCCGCCGCGCTCGCCCGCACGGGGGCGCCGAGGGCGAGGGCGCGGAGCGTGAGGGCGGAGCCGCTCTATGGCCCGCCCCTCTCGCTGGTCTGGCGGCGCGCGCGCTGCCGCTCTAGCCGCACCTCTCTATGGTTGGAGGACCGAGCGCTGCGGGGCGGGTTCGAGTCCCTCTCCCTCCTAACCCCGCCCCCGGTATGCATCGGGACAGGAATCCCACACGGGAACGCGGGAATGTCCCCGTTTGGCGGCTGCACTGTAACCCAGGAATCCCACACCGGAGCACGGGAATATCCCGGTTTGGTGGCTGCACTGTAACCCAGGAATCCCACACCGGAGCACGGGAATATCCCGGTGGCTTCACTGTAACCCAGGAATCCCACACCGGAGCACGGGAATGGCGGCTGCGCATGCAGCGCCGAGCTGGGGTACAATGTGAGAAGTGCAGCCCTCACACCGGGTGGGCACAAACACCCGGCAGCCTCTGGAAAACACATCCGATTTATTCCTTTAGAGTTTCCAAAAATATTCCAGTCCCAACCACGGCTGTGGCCCTGAAATGCAGGGACACCCCACAAGCCTCCTGCTGACTCCCAAAATCCCAAGGGCCGGACCCCAGAGAAAGGATGAGCCGGAACCGACCCCGACAGAGCCGGTGGAGTGCAAGGAGACTCCAGGGGATCCATCAGCCACGGAAGTGGGCAAATTCCTTGCGGAGCCAGAGAGAATCCTGGTAGAAGAGGGGGTCTCCCAGGTGCACAGCTGTTCTCTTGTAGAAGTAGCAGTAAAGCACGGCCGCTGCAGGGAATTTCGGGATGAGAGAGGGCCCCCAGCACCCCCAAAGGATGTGGGATCCCACCCTGATCCTTGGAGTCCTTACCCAGCCTCTGGAAAACGAACAGGGTCTGAAGGCCTTCAGTCCAGATGAAGCGGCTGGAGTCACGCCAGCGCAGGTTCTGAGGGGGGTGGAAAACTGGGAGTAACCCCTGGAGCAGTTTTATTGAGCCCTTCCAGACCCCTCACCCCATTCCAAAGGTTCTGAGCGGGATGGAGGGACATCAAGGCAGGAGTGACACCTGGAGAAGTTTGGGAAGCTCCCTACCCCAAAGGTTAAGCAGCTCAGGGGATTTAGGCATTGAGCCCGGACCTATTCCGGCTTCAGACTGCAGATCCCTGCAAATCCCTGCAAATCCCCCTCCTGGACGGCGTGGGCAGCACCAGAGCAGCTGCTGTGGCTCCTGACCCCCCAAACATTCCCTGTGCTCCGGGGCAGCAGGAGGGAGGGAACTCCAGGAGGTGTCCAGGGGATGGGAACTGCTCCATTGGGAAGGAGCTAGGAAGCAGTTTATCCAAGAAGGAACAGGGGAAGGTGCTGCCAGGACAGATCCAGGAGCCTGCACAGCCCTCAGAGCTGTGGGAAGGGAAGGGGCTGCCCCCAGGTATAGGGATTAATCCCAGAAAAAGCAGGAGCTGCTAGCACAGGCTTTCCCTGGGGAAATAATGAGCTGGGATGGGGCTGGCATTGGGCAGGAGGTCATGCCAACCACAGGGTGATGGAATGGGACATCTTCCATGGGACACCTTCCAGGGGGAGGCCGTGAGAAAGGACTGTGGGAAGCTGGGGGTCATGGAAGAAGCCCTTGGGAGAATCCAGCAGCTGTGCCCACGCCATCCTACCATAATCCAGACGTGGAAGGAGATGCTCAGAGCCAGGTAGGCTGCAGAGAGCAGGATGGTTCCCTTGAATTTATGGAACAGGAGGTTGACCAACCCCGCCTGGAACACGTAGGTGTTGAAGAACATGAGGAAGACAATGATGACGTTGAAGACGATGGCGATGTCCTGGATGCTGCCGGGAGAACAGAGGGATTGTGGGGTCCTGGATCTCCTGGAGCTGCTTCCAGGACTTTCCCCACCTTCCCTGTACTCACATGAAGAGGACGAGCTGCACGGCCGGAGCCGTGCGCAGCAGCTCCGAGAAGGAATTCACAAAAAGGTCGTAGGAAAGCAGCAGGAACTGCAGGAACAGCACCAGGCTGTAGTTGCTGGGCTGGAGCATCCTCCTTCCTGGGGCTTGCAGCCCTCAGCCCCAGCATTCCCAATGGATCATGGCGCTGGGGGAGAGCAGCAGGGCCTCTCCCGACATCCCAAACCTGGAGGGGGAACACGGGGATTGGGATGGATCCCAGAAACCAGGAAAACCCAATGAGCTGCGTCCTCTCTTTCCCCCAGTGTCTTCCTTGCCCCTGAAATGCACCCCAATCCCCGTGTGAGGCAATCCAGGGATGAGTGAGACGTGCAGTCCCAAGAAGCAGTGTCCAAGCAGGTTACTCCTGGCTGTTCCCAGCTCCATGGGCAGTTCAGAGCAGGTGTGGGCATGTCCCACTCTGGGCACAGGGAGAGAGGAGTGAGGAGAGACAGACGGGAATTTCTGGACACCGGAGCAGGTACAGCCCTCGTGGGACACATATCTCACGGGAACAGCCCCCTCAGGGATCATCCTGGCTGGAGAGGGACGGAGGGGACAGGGATTTCCCGTGTCCCGGCAGGAAAGAGCTGTGCTGGGGGCTGAATTCCCTGAGGGGCAGACATGGTGACAGACGGGGGTAAAGGGGCTGGGAAAGGACGGAAAGCGGCTGAAAACGCGGGGGAAGAAAGGCTGGACATGGGAGCGCGAAACTGATGGACAGGAGGGGGGAAGGAGCTGGATATGGGGATGAAGAGATCACTCTCTGCCCCTCCTTCTCACAACCACCACTGCGGAGCCCCCGGGCCCCCTCTCGCCGCCCTCTCCCCCTGTCCCTGCCGCCTCCCCGCTCCCGGGGCCGCCCCTCCGATACGCCCAAACCCCGCTGGGTGCCGGAGGTCCCGGTCCCGGGGGTCCCGCTGGGTCCCCACCGTGCCCCCGCCCCGGGCGCTCACCCGCCGCCGCCATCTTTGTCCCCATGGAAACGGCCGCCAGAGCCGGAAGTGAAGGCGGAAGTAGAGTCTGGAGGACCCGCGGGGCCGCTCTGGCCGCCGCTCCCCTCTGTGGCAGCACATTGGGGTGCGCGGGAAAACCATAGAGATGAGCAGGCAGAGCGGCGCTCGCCAAGATGGCGGCGCCCAGTGACGAGGAGGGGGCGGTGGGGCCCAGGTACAGCCCTGGGGTTGGGAGGACCGGTGGGCGGCTCCGGGGTTGGGAGGGGCCGAGGGACCCCGTGGTCTGGGATTTGGGTGGAGTCAGGGCCGGGCGTTTTGTTCCAGGTCCCGGGGAGCCTCAGGTTTGGGGGGGGGCTGTGGAGACACGTGTTCCCAGATTTCGGGGAGCCATGGCGCCGAGTACCCCAGATTTGGGAGATCCGTGAGTCTCTGTGTCCCACATTTTGGGGAACCATGGGGCCGCGTGTCTCCACCCGTTTCCTGTCACTATGTCCCGTGAGACAGCTGATTTGAGGGTGTCGGGACATCCCCCGTCCCCAGAGAGGACAGAAATACCCATTTCTGGGGGCACATGCAAATCACATGCAAATGAGAGCTGTCAGGTTCCTGCAAGGGGGACCATGACAGCTGACCCTGAGAGCCCCTTGCTGCCATTCCCTGGGCTGCCATGCCCAGGAATTCTGCTCTGCATGTCCTGTTCCATCACTGGCCTCCTTCCCAGTCCAGGGCACAGCTGGACTCTGGTCACCCCCTCAGCGTCCCAGTTCCCCTTTCCGTGGTTCCTCCTGGCAATGTCGGAGAGCCCCAAAAGGCCCCTCGATCACCCCCGGGTGCCACCATCCTGGATCCATCCCTGCCACCATTCCCAGACTGGGAAGGAGCTGGGCCACCATCCCTGGCTGGGAAGCAGCTCCATCCCTGTCACCTTCCCCAGGCTGGGAAACAGCTGCCCCCCCACACCCTTTAGGGGTTCCCAGTTCCTCTTTCCGTGGCTCCTCCCTGGGACCGCATCCGGAGCCTGAGCCGGCTCCTCGCTCACCCGCAGGTGCCACCACCGCTCCCCGGCCATGCTGGACGTGCCCTTCCTGCCCTTCAGTGCCTTCCTGGGAGCGCTGGGACTGCTCTGCGTGGCCATGGTGGGCACCTGGTGCCAGCACTGGCGCGGGGGCTTCTCCCTGGACGGCAGCTCCCGCACGTTCAACTGGCACCCGGTGCTGATGGTGACGGGCTTGGTGGTGCTCTACGGCGCAGGTGAGCAGAGGGAGCGCGGGGATCCCGCCACGGCTCCCTCCTGATGTTTTTTCCCCTCACAGCTGCCCTGGTTTACCGCATTCCCCACACGTGGAGCGGCCCCAAGCTTCCCTGGAAGTTGCTGCACGGCAGCTTGGCGTTGGCAGCGTTCGTCCTGACCGTGCTGGGGCTGGCGGCCGTGTTCTGCTTCCATAACTCCCAAGGGACGCCCAACATGTACTCGCTGCACAGCTGGATGGGGCTGGCAACTGTCCTGCTCTTCTCCTGCCAGGTGGGAATCCCTCCTGCATCCCCCCATCCCTCCGGCATCCCGAGTTTTCCACCCTCACGTTCTCTTCCCGCAGTGGGCGGCGGGTTTTGGAGCGTTCCTGCTGCCCTGGGCTCCCACCTGGCTCCGGGCACTCTACAAGCCCATCCATGTTTTCTTTGGCTCCACCATCCTCATGCTGTCGGTGGCTTCCTGCATGTCAGGAATCAATGAGAAGCTTTTCTTCAGCCTGTGAGTGTCAGGGGCAGGGGGGTGGGCTTGGGAAGATCCCTCACAGGGATGGTGGGACTTGGGATGTGGATTTGGGCTGGATCTGGGAGGGACCAGCGCAGAGCAAAGGGAACTGAGCACTTCCTCAGGTGTGTGGCTCCCTGCACACTTCCCTGCAAGGTTTGGAGGGGGAGTTTGGGAATATCCAGAACACTCCCAGCCTCTCTTCCCCGCTCCAGGAAGAACGGGACCATGGCATACAAGCTCCTGCCGGCTGAGGCCGTGTTTGCCAACACCCTGGGGCTCCTCATCCTCATTTTTGGAGTGCTGGTGGTGGCTGCCCTGGCCAGGCCCAGCTGGAAGCGCCCGGATTCTGACTCCCCGGACTCCCGCCAGGTACAGGACGCGCTGGGGGGAGCTGCCCCCCAGCACAGTCCCGAGGGTGGGGAAGGATTGAGGGACCCCGGCTCATCCCTGTCTCCCACAGCCCCTGCTCTCTGCTGAGCGCTGATCCCAGGGATCTCCAGCACTGCCAAGCTGTATCCTTGTGCCTCCACGTGCCAGCTCCTGCCTGGATCCTGGGCCATGCCCAACCCCAGCGCTTGCCGGTGCCATCCCTCAACGCCGCAGCTGCAGCTGCCAGAGCCTCGCTGGGACAACGAGGAGCATCCTTGTCACTGCCACTCCAGAGGATCCGGCTCAGGGTGGAGCCACTCAGGGGCCTCGTGGACGTGGAATAAAACATTGGCTTCTGCAGGGCTCTGGCACTTAAATCCCTGGGGACAAGGGAGGGCCTGGGAGCTGGGAGCTTGGGAGTAGGTCTTGGCCAAGCCAAGCTGTCCCTTCCAAGGGCTTGTCCCTGCTGGTTGCCTGGAGACATGGGACAGCTCCCCGTGGTCACCCCACGGGATTCAGGATCATGCCCTGCTTCTCCTTTGCCCCTTTCTCAGACTCGCCCCCAGACCCCGTGCCCAGAGCCATGTGAGCTCTGTGGCTTCCCCTCCCCACCCTGGGTTTCCTTCCTCCCCCAGTCACAGGATCCCTGTTCCCATCTCCCTTCCCAGCCTGGAGCAACGGGGGGCACCCCCACACCCCCAAATTCCACCACTCACCCCTCCAGGCTAGCATGGGGGACACAGAGGATTCCTGGGGGCCACGTCCTAAGGTTTATTGAGAAACATCCTTGAAGGAGCACAGGGGGTTGTTGGGATACGCCTCCCTGTCACGTGGGTGGGACAAGTGTTTATTGTGATAACCGTTTTGATCACTACAAGGGGACACAGGTTTTTAGGGACACACATCCCTGTAATTACTGGGTGCCCAGGGGGTCCCGCATCCCCTGCAGCACCGCCCCCAGCACTGCTGCCACTGCCACAGCCCCAGCATCGGGCTGGTCCAGCCGGGATGAGTGCACGTAGCTGGCTCTGCCCGCCCCAGCCTCCATGTGCCTGGTGGCCTCCGCCGCTGCCTCCGCGCTCTGCCGGGGAAAACAGGCTGTTCTCCAGGACAATGGCAGGGACTCCCAGCCAATTGTCCCACTGTCCCAGCTCTCCATACCTGGACAGCTGCCGCCAGCACTTGGAGCGGGTCAGCACCGGGACTGCGCAGGGAATGCAGCGCCTGTCCGGCTGCAAACAGCGAATCCAGCTGCAAAGGGTGGGAATTAGTGTGGGAGCCAGGGCTGAGGCCAGGTGGGAACTCCCTGGCATCCTCCTGGAAGTCTTCCTGGCTCCTGGGCTCTCCCAGCACTCACCATTGTCCGGTCTCCTGGGGCGGCTCCTCCGTACCTGTGTGGGATGCAGGGAAATTCAGGGGGCATTGGGATTCCCAGGGGGCTCTGGGGTTCCACAGCCCCGGCACTGACCTCTGCATGGCCTCAATCCCGGCGTCCATGGCATCAGCCCACGCCCCGGCATCGCTGCGGCCACGCAGGCTCTGGCCAGCCGCCGTCAGGAAGAGCCCGTAGAGCTTTGGGAATACCATCAATCTCAGCCTGGAAACACGGCCCCATTCCCAGGTGTGTTCCCCCATTCCCATCTCCACTCCCATTCCCACTCACCACTCCGGAGGAGCCTCCCATCTGCGCCAGCACCACATCAGCCAGGGAGGAGAGCAGCAGGGCTGGGGCAGCCGGAGGCGGCCGGGAGCGCATCCATTCCTGGATGGCTGTGGGAATAGAAGGGATAACGGGATTGGAGGTGGCCCTGCAGTCCCCTGTCCCTCGTGGGGACAAGCAGGGACAGCCCTCAGTTCCATAGGGAAGCTGCCACTGGATGCAGAAACATTCCAGGATACAATTACAGGAAGGAACACCCAGGTTTCCTTGGTCCCAGGGAGGGATGTCCCGGGGAGCTCCCCTCCCCTGGGAGGTGCCATTAGGGCAGCATTCCCCACAATTCCCTGGATAATGGCCCCCACACCTACCTTGGGCCGCCTGGGCGTGGGTGTGGCCGCAGTCCCCGTCACCTGCTCCCCGATCCAGCTCGTTGAGCTTCTCCTTCATATCCAGCAAGGTGCTGCACACCCGCTGCAGGACCCGCTCCACCCGTGCCGTGCTGAGCCCTGCGGAGAGGAGATGCAGCCTGCACGTTCCCGAGGGAAACTGAGGCACGGAGCAGGGGATGTGACAAGGGATGGGAGCCCTGTACCAGTTCCAGTCTCATCCTCTGCCTTCCTGGGGGGCTCTATCGGTGCTGGCACCTCCTCCTTCCGGGTGGTCGCCGGTCCCACCAGAATGTTGGGCCATGCCATGGCCATGGTCTTGGCATCTGGAAAAGCCAGAGCATATGTGGTGGCTCAGGATCCCATTGGATCCTCACTGGCACACCCAACAGCCAGGAATTCCACCCCCAGACATCCCACCAGCCTTGTGTCCCATCACCCAGCATGTGGAAACCCCCGTGCCCCAATCCCAGGCCACATTCCCACCGGGAACTCACCGATCAGCCTGAGCAGCTCCTCATCCACCAGCATGAGGGTGAGGGAGACTCCAGCCATTTCCATTGCTGTCATGAAGGATCCCACCATGGCCCGGACGATGCGGATCCCTTGGTTCTCTGCAGGATGCAGACAGGGTCACTCCAGAGCGGCCAGAGCCAGGGAATGGGATCCCAAGCTCCCCTCTGCGCTCACCCAGGTAGCGCACAGCAGCTCCAGCCACAATTCCCAGCTCCAGGCAGGACAATCCACCCAGGTTGTTCACAATGAGCACCACAGAGGATCCTGCAGGGCAGGGGGCAGGGTGAGACTGGGATCCAGGGGGTTTGGAGGAGCACAGAGGGTCCTGGGGAGCTCACCAGGCTTCAGGGGCAGGTGGGAAGCACTGGATGGATCCGTCATGTGCGTCAGCATCGTCTCCACAGCCTTATCTGCCGGCAGCATCTGGAGGGGACACGAAGGAGGGGAGGAGCAGAGTGGGGAAGTCTGGGAATCAGGGGATTTGGGAATGGGGAGGGAGCAGCAGGATTTCCCCCTCACCTTCATCCTGCGCACTCCAGCCTCGCCGTGGATCCCTACGGAGATGGGGCTGTGTCACATCCCAGCCCTGGTGACGCCTCCCCGGGGGGGCAGGGACACTGGGACCCTCCAGGGACCCAAGAGGGACACCAAGGGGCTGCTCCTCACCCAGCCCCAGCTCCATCTCATCCTCAGCCAGCTGGAAGGAGGGCTTGGATCCTGGGATGCTGCAGGGAGACAGGCTGAGACCCAGGGTACCTGTGCAGGTGGGAATGTTCTGTTAAAACTGGGGGGATTTTTGGTGTTCAGGGGCTGGGTGACACAGGACAGCATTCCCATGGGATAACACAACGCACCCATGACTTTGGCAGCCGCCATCGCCTTCTTCTCGACCTCATCCAAGCTCGCTCCCTCCTCGGCCAGAGCTCCCGCCACCTGTCCCGGGCAGAGCGGGTGAGTGACCCCCCAGAATTCCCCAAATCCCCACGAAGGGTCCCAGCAGAACCTTGTGGATGAGGATGGTGCCACAGATCCCGCGGCGCCCGGCTTTCCCCGGCTTGGTGAAGGCGCAGTCGTCGCCCACCACCACCATCCGCACGTCGGTGCCCTCGGCCCGCGCCCGCTCCAGGGCCATCCCGAAATTCAGCCGGTCCCCGGTGTAGTTCTTCACAATCAGGAGGATCCCGGCTGCAGGATGGATGTGGAGACAACGGGAATGATGCAGCACTGGCGGGAGGAACCCCAGAATTCCACCCTGGTGTGTTCCCAACCTGCTCCAGCCTGTGCCACAGCCCGGATGGCCGCCAGGATGCTGCCCACGGACGGTGATGCAAACATAGTTCCGGCCACCACTCCGGTCAGCATTCCCTTCCCCACGTAGCCTGTGCAGAGGGAAGAGGGCTCGGCACCGTGTCCGTGAGTGGGGGGTACAGGTGGGACAGGGGGGTCTCACCTGCGTGGGCGGGCTCGTGGCCGGAGCCCCCCCCGGACAGCAGGGCCACACGGCCGCGGATGGCCTGCAGGTCATCCCGAAGGACCACCCGGTGTCCCTGCAGCAGCCGGAGCCCGGGATTGCAGGCCACCACTCCGGCCAGTGAGTCATCGGCACAGCTGGACACCGTTGTCACCAGTTTTTTGGGGATCTGTGGGGAAAGTGGGGAGCGGTGGGATGGGCAAAGGAGGAATGCCAGCCCCATAGGAATGCCAACCCTCCTGCTCCGGGCTCACCTCCATGGGAGCGGAGCGCAGCACTCGGAGCCGAAGATGGAATCTGTCTGCAAAGAGGGCAAGGTCCAGCCTGAAGTGGACAGCGGTCCGGAGAGGGGGCTGGGAAGGGGGCGGGATGGGATGGTGTCTGGGGTGATGGTGATGCTATGGGGAGTGTCTGTCTGGTGGGAATGGGGCTGGCGTTGGAGTCGTCCCCACACAGGGACACCTGCCCAGGCAGGGAGTTCGTTTTGGAATGAGGCGCCAGAATGGAGCCACTCCCCCGGCACCCAGCCAAGCCGCCCTTTTGGAATGAGGCGCCAGCATGGAACAACCCCGAAACAGGCGCCTTTTTGGGGCGAGAGAGGGCAGTGACGGCTCCCCCTTCAAGGAGGGACCCCCTTTCGAGGCGGGAAATCACGATGGGACCCCCCGCCCCCCAAACAGGGACCCCTTTTTTTGTGATGAGGGACTCCCACCTTCAGGGATCTCCCCTCAGTGCAGGTCCTTAACGGATCCACGCTCCCCCCCACAAACAGCTGGGACCCCTACCCCAGGTTTCGGGGGGCACAGAGCTGCAGGGAGGGGGCTGCACCCTCCCACGTGGGGCCCTCCCTTCGGGATACGGCGTGGGACCAGGGTGGGATCAGCGCGGGTCCAGCGGGTTTAGGGGGAGACCCCCCGCGCATCCCCCTCCACACCTGCGCTCGCCGGGGCCCTTCAACCGCCCTTATCGGCTTCTCCTCGCGGCCCTCCCAGCGGGCTAGAGCGGCTCCTCTCGGCTGCTCCCCCCAAGTCCTCCCAGCGGGCTAGAGCGGCTCCTCTCGTCTGCTCCTCCCAAGTCCTCCTAGCGGGCTAGAGCGGCCCAGTGCGCCCACTTCCCGGAAGTGGCTGCGACGGCGGCGGAGAGGCCGCGCTCTTCGTTCCCCCCGGTTTTCCCCGCGCCCCGCCGGGACCTCCCGGTTCCCCCAACATGTCCTACAACTACGTGGTGACGGCGCAGAAGCCGACGGCCGTCAATGGCTGCGTCACCGGTACGGCGGGGCGGGAGGTGACGGGAGCGCCTTGTTTGGGGCG